TCCAAAATAAAAGGAGCCACCGGGGGACCACCGGCGACAAAAAAAGGCCAAAAAAAAAACAGCCCCCCCGGGCCCAGGAAAAAGGGGAGTTCTTGGGCGAAACCTCCCCGGCTGTAAAGGCCCAAAAGGGGGTTTCTTTTCTCCCCGGAAGCTTTGGGGGGGGGCCGGTAAAAGTCGACCCCCTCCACTTCAGCCATTGGTTCCAAAAGACCCCTAAAAAGGACCCCTCCAAAGGGGGCCCCCAGGCGGAGGACAGGGTTAACAGGTGCGGGGCCACTCCGTTGGCCTCGGGGGGGGGGGGGGGGGTGCCTGCTGCCAGAAAAAACGCGTTGCTAGCGTTTGTGTCCGAGCAATGGATCGAAGCATATGGCGCGGTCGGCCACAACATACGTATTGTGCAGCTCGCTCGCCGTACCAAATGGTGTATGTCCAGCTAAAAGCCGACTTTCAGCACAGACGGCCTTGCCCGGGCTTTTGGGGGAGCAGGAAGACAGCCCGATTTTCCACAAGGTAACTATTTCTAATGGTTGCGGCGTCGATAAACGAACTGCTTGAGCGTTCGCCATGTGATGCGTCGAGGCTAGCACCGATGCATGGGGACAAAATCTCCACACCCTGTTGGAGGCTTTCGCACCACACTCTCCGTGGTGGCAGACAGACTCATCTCGCGGCCAATAAACGTCAGGCTTCGCGGGACTCCGAAAACACGGACGAGCAATCACGTCGATACAGAACCGCAAACTACACAAGCAGCAACCCCTTCCAGCAAATACAACACAGGCACTATACAATCGCCCCCGCCCCCCACTTTCCTGAGGGAACAACGCTCCGTCCTCTCGAGGATGCGTGGTCAATGGTATAACCGCTAAGGCATGCAAAACGGAAGTTTGTGGGAACAATGCCTCGTCTTCTCGAGGGCGCGTGGTCAATGGTCTAACCGCTACGGCATGCGAAACATGAATACCCCCCCCCCCCCCCCCTCCCGCCCTCACTTGGACATCTCGTGCTCGTATGCCGCCCCGTTCTCCATCCCAATGGACGACAGGTAGTCACACGCGGCCCCAAGCCCGACGGCCTGGGCGATCGCCGGGGTGCCCGCCTCGAACCTAGCCGGGGGCTCCGCAAACGTGGAGTGGTCGAAGTATACCTGGTCGATCATCTCGCCCCCACCCTTGGGAACGGCGGTAGACGGTCAGGGTTAGGGTTAGGGTTGTGTGTGGTGGTGGGAGGGAGAAGTAGGCGAATCAGCCATCCGCCGCAAGGTTTACAACACGAACAAGGCCTCTGATTGGCCATCTCGCCTCCCCCCTAGGGGGAACAGCGGTAGACGGTTAGGGTTAGAGTTGGGGTTGTGTGTGGTGGTGGGAGGGGAAGGAGGGAGTGTAGGCGAATCAGCCATCCGCCGCAAGGGTTACAACACGAACAATGCCTCTGATTGGCCATCTCGCCTCTCACCCTAACGCACATCCCTGGCAGCCGGAGGGGTAAAAAATGGGTGCGGAAGTTGCGCAGACAAACACGCCCCGAGGTGCAACGGCAAAGGGGCAGGGGACACCGAACACCACGGTCATGGTTGCGGGGGGGGGGGACGGGGGGGGAGGGGCGAGCAAGGAGCCACCGCCTCCCACCAATTATCGAAACCCTAAGCTCGATCTATGTAGACAACTGCGGGTAGGGGGGGGGGGGGGGGGGAAAAGTTCCCCTCAAAACATGAAGGGGGGGGACGGCCCCAAAGGGGGGGGGAATTTTTTTTTTTTCCCCCCGGCAAAAGGCAACGGCGGGGAACCAAAGGCCCCCAAAATTGGTTGGGGGGGGTCATTTTCCCCAAAAAAAAAAAAAAAAAAAAAAAAAAAACGGGGGGAAATAAGGTTTTCCCTCCCTCCACCCAGGGTTTTCAAAAAAAAAACTTTTCGGGGGGCCAAAAAAGGGGAAAAACCCGGACCGGTCTTAAACGAAAAAAAAAACCCCAAA